GTTCCTACCCAATGTTAAGAATAACCCCTTCTCTACCCTTCCCCTCCTCTGAATATTTTCAACAACAAGGACCATATTACCTTAGGAGGAAATGCATTCCATCATCAAATAGCTCTAGTTGTTAGAAAATTATACTGAAATAGAAACTTGTCTTTTCTATGTCAGACATTCGTATGTATGTGTGTGTGTGTATATGCATTTTTCCTATACCAAGGTATTAGTCTTATATTGAACTCTATTTCTAAAGCTGTCCTGCCCAAGAATGGTATCCAAAGCCACACATAGCTTGTAATGTAAAACATACTTTAATTTTTAAAGACATTTATGAAAGAATGTCAACTATTTAAACTTTTTTTTTTGCTTTCCAAAATACAGTTGATTTCTATAAAAGTATTTTACTCGTGTTAATTTGTACTGGGCTTATTATTTTTTTAATAAACTAAGCAGTGTTTTAAAATTTCTCTAAAATCATATAAACAGACATGTTGTTTACTCTTTTGCAATCCCACAAACTAAATAACCCACTAGGTTCATATGTTCATGGAATTTCCCAGGCAAGAATCCTGGAATGGGTTGCCATTTCCTTCTCCAGGAGATCTTCCCAATTCAGGGATTGAACTCCCATCTCCAGTACTGGGAGGTGGACTCTTTACCACTAAGCCACCAGGGGAGCTCCATAAACAGACATAACGCATATAAATAAAAGCACATACAGAGCCTCTGTAACTTTTAAGAGTATAAATGAGTTCTGAAACCAAAAGTTTAAGAATTCATCAAGTTATGCAAGGCACTAAGGAAAGAAACAATCTCTAATAATCTAAGGTGTTCCAAGTATACAAGGGATACAAAAAGTATCCTTCTGTAAGTCTAAGAAATTATTAATCTGAGCTATGTAAGAACAGCAGTGGCTCCCCAAAACTTTTGTAACATCAAATCATAGTCCCTTTCTTCTATATAGACCTTCGCCTAAAAAGTCTAATCTTTAGAGACAAGTGAATATCATACCAGAAGTCAACAAAGGGGAAATCTTTCTAAAAAAGAAGCTGTCCTGAAAGTACAATCCAACAAAATGACTCCTTTAGATTATGTTTCCTATTAACTGAAGTTCCTAGTATTTCAGTGTTAAGATCTAAAATAATTGCATCATTTTCTACTTACATAGCTTGCTAAATTCTAATTCTCTTATGAACATTCCACCAGACTAAAGCCTAATAACCATAAATGTGCAATTTTTAATCTCACTAATAACCAAAAAAAATGCCAACTAAAACAATTTTATGTTTCTCCTATGTTTTATGTTTTAGTATAATGGGAAAAAAAATAGTTTTAAGGGCAGTTCTCAGATCAGTGAAAGCACAAAAAAAACCCAATACCTTTGTATGTAAAAAGTGGAAGTAAAACTGGTAGAGTCTTTCTGAAGTCAAAATAAAAGTATTTAAAAGGTCCCCTCACCCACAACTGTCTATCACATCACCCACCTAATTTTATTTCCTTCTTAGCATCACTCAATAATTTTAAAAGATTAATAATTATTTTTGAAAACAAATTAATTATCTGTCCCACTCCCCTCAGCATGCAGGCTTCGTAAGAGAAGCCCTGTTCACTAATGTATCCTGAGCTCTGGACATCATCTATCAAGTGTTAAAAAAAAAAAAAAAGACCTAGCAAGTAACTGATAGTCACAAAAGTGTTATTTTATTTTTAAAAAGTTAAACACAAGCTAAAAACTTTTGGAAACAACCTATTTGCCCATCAAGCCCAGAATGATTAAAAACACTATGATAGCTGTATTCAGTAGAATATCAAGAAGTTTTTTAAAACAATAAAGCAGATTCACAAGTAACTAGAATGAAGAGATTGAAGGCACATTAAGTGAAAAAATAAATTGCTAAATACATCTGTATTATGTTTCTGTGTTGGAAGGAAAAACACATACACACACAAAATTACACACACACACACAAAAGAATAGTACCTAACTGGCAAGTAATTATTTCTAGTGAGAAAAGAGTAGGATATGGAAAGAGGGAGCGGTCAAGGGGTACTTCAGCTTTATTTGTATAATTTAATAAATTTTTTAAAATCACATATACTCATGCAAACTGCTTATATAACTATGCAACTTTTTTTTCAAATCAATTTGCAGGAGAAGGGTCCAGTCCTATCTTTCACACAGAGTTAACTTACTACAAAGAATCATTTACCAAAAAAAAGAAACACTTAGGAAAATGAGGTAACAGAGAAAGTAGTAACAGCAGGGAGCTTCAATCACTTCTATGACTGAAAGGACAATAAGATGATGTAGTCCCATCAGATCACAAAAGTCTGGGACAATGCTAGAACCACAGCAGGAACTACCTAACGGTAACTGGGACCAGGGAAGAACCGCTGATAAAGGGACACAGCTATTGCTGGAGCTCACTCAAAAAAGAGGTGGGGAAATACCCTGGTTTCTTCCAATCTTAAGATTATAACTAATCTTCTGTTACTGCCTCCAATTAGTCAATTCCAAAAAACAAGTGAGCATAACCAATCATCATGCTGTATATCTTAAAATCATACAGTATCACTGTCAATTATATCACAATAAAATTGGGAGGGGAAACCAACAAAACATGTTGAAAGCAAGGAAGCCTACGAAATTTAATTCCCTGCAATACAAAATAGAGCAGGGAAAAGATAGGGATAGATTTGATAATAAGCTGGGTGACTGGCACAGTCAGTTATCAGTGTATGCCCTACTTCCTATATTCTATGGCAGGAGAGGACTCACACATATGGTGACTCAAAGTCCATTTCAAGCCTACTTAAGTAAAAAAGAACCAGATTGGGGGGAGGGGCAGGGATAGAGCAGGAATCTAAAGTACAAAATGTAATAGTAAAAAAGTAAATGATTAGAAACACTATTTACTAGAAGGGGTAAAATTACCAAAGTTAGTTAAATACACAGATTATATGAAATTTCACCATATGAAATCTCTGTATTCCGGAGGAATTTCTGGAAATCTGAGACTAAGTATGTCTTTAAAAATAAAAGTTTAACTTAAGAGACCAAGAATTAAAACTTATGTTTACCAACGTGCACTCTGAGTGTCAATCTTTCAAAAAGAATAAAGCAAAGCCTAGGTTAGAAACTAAAACAGAAGAGCTGCTATCAAAACATGCCAATACAGGGAAAGAAAAGCCTAATTTCATTTGAGCATTCTACTGGTCCCAGACCAGGGATTAGCTAACTTTCTCTGTAAAGGACCAGACAGTAAACACTTTAGGCTCTAGGAGTTTTACAGTCTCTCCTGTAACTAATCAACTCTGTAAAAACAGCCACAGTTAGTACATGGATGAACAGATATGGTTCTGTCCCAATAAATTCTTATTTCTGGATACAAAAATTTGAATTTCACATAACTTTCACAAAATATTTTCTATTTCTTTTTCAAATATTTAAAACTGAAATCATTTCAGCTCACAGGCCATACCAAACACATGAGTCAGATCAGGCCAAGAGATCAGTTTGCTAACCGCTGGTCTCAGACAAATAATGCACTGAATCCCTACATTTCAAAACTAAGTTTGATTTTTCCTTCCAAGGTGAGTATGTCTTTTAACTATTTTAAACTGTTAAACAGGAACTAATCTATCTATATTTTTAATCCAATCTGTCGACAACAGAGGCGCATTTTTTTTTGTTGTTTGCCCCCATCCCAACCTGGGGCTTCCTTGATGGTTCAGGGGGTAAAGAATCTACCTGCATGCAGTGCAGGAGACACAGGTTCCAACCGTCTCTGGGTCGGAAAGAACCCCTGGAAGAGGAAATGGCAACCCACTCTAGTATTCTTGCCTGGAAAATTTCATAGAGGAACCTGGCAGACTCATAGTCCATGGGATTGCAAAAGAGTCAGACATGACTGAGCACACGGCCCACCTCCATCCCACCTCCAGCATAGATGGATTTACTCAGGATAAGCAGAGAATGGCAATATGGGGTCTACAAACATGGTGAGCAAAGAGTGAGTTCCCTGTATGGCAAGGGAAGGCCAACACTTTGATAAGAGGAATAAAAGAAGATGGGAGGGTTATAGTAAACAGAGGCCATGGTTTTTCATTGGCCTCATCCTTGCTAGGAAAGGAGAGGAGTGTTTCCTCTTTCTGTTGCACTCTGTGATTGTGAGAGCTCCCCCCATTCTGGCCAGAGGCAAGTTTTTAACAAGGTTGACAAATATTTTAAAAGTGTAGTCTTTAACCCAAAGAAATCTATACAAATATAAATTTAATCTATGAAAAACACATCAGAACACTTGAGGGGGTGTCACTGTACTCAAAGCTAATACAATCTGCATGCCTGTGATAAACAAACCTCATCAAAGTCCCTAAAGAATTCCAAGTACATTCATTCTTCTACTGACCTTTCAATCAATACAGTCTATTAAAAAGCTTGTATTTTACAGTTTTGGTCCCTTGTAGAATCTTATTTTCTGAATTTTAGTTCAGCATTTCACCTACAGCTTGACCAAAGGGATGTTATAAGAAACTGCTGCACAAACCCCAATACTGTATTTACTATAAAAAAGACTGAGAAAAATTTTATCTAGTATATCATGCATCATCTTTTTTATGAGGACCCTTGGGAGAAATTTCTCAAGCACAGTGCCATTTATGAACACTTTTCTCAAGAGACTTGTGGTCCTCTTACCTTACAGATACTGTATATTCCATAATTCAGTATAAAATTCTTTTAGGCTGTGAATTCAAGCTTCACAGTCCAGTTCTGGTAACTGTGTGAGAATCTATGACATACGTTTGTACGTACTTCTATAATTAGCTCCATATTACTGAATTTTTATTTTCCTCAATTTTTTTTCTTTTGGGAAAAATCCTGACACTGTGTTTATATATTTTTAACTCAAATAAAGTGGGGCATAAGTATGCAATGGCATAAGAAACTACCACACACACATATGTTCTAAGTAACATCATTCAACTGGGGGAAAAAAAATACTTACCTCAAACAGCTGCAATTTGTTCTTTGTGTGGCTTCAACAAAATCCCAGGATGCTACTTTATCAGCTGTCTCTTCTTCACACAGACCACTTGATGAAGCCGAATACTTCCTCCTAAGATTTGAAATTATATAATCTTTAGAATTCATAAAAATTTTTGTAAACTTGAATTAAGCATTAACATTGAAGTTTTAAATCAATTTTTTTGTATTAAAATATTATCAATGAGCACTTACTTCAAATCTCTTATCTACAAGTAACTACCAACATGCAATTTTTAAACCTGAAGATGAAAATACATACTTGTTCTGTGCTCTGTTCATATTACATTCTTGCCAAACTCTATCCACCACATGATTTGCTAATTTTCTGGGTATCTTCCCACCATGATGGCTAGTACTATCTGAGCTGAAGCCATCAGATACTGAAGAAAATTTGATCCACTTCTGGGCAGACTGAGGATCAACTGAAAACAAAACAAAAAATTGATTGTAGGAGAATAAAGGCAGGTTTAAAAGAGTATTACTTTGTTTTCTGTTTCTTAACTTGCTCCAGCTATCTGGTAAGCCTACTTACATTTTAAGGAAAAAAGCAGGTCACTTTACTTAAAATACAGAAAGCAAAAAAATTTGAACAGGAGATGGGAACTGATGGTAGTATCATATTAATGTTAATTTCCTGACTTGGAAGACTAAATGGCTGTCATATAGAAGAGTCTCCTTAATTTGGGGAAACAGACTTAGTGCTTAGGCGTAATGAGGCATCATGTCTGCAGCTTGTTCTCAAATGGTTCAGAAAAAGACCCATGATAAGGAATGTATGCACAGAGAGAGGGTGATGGAGCAAATATTAACAATTTGGGAATCTGAATGAGTAGAGCTTTTTGTACTGTACTTGGCAAACACTTCAGTAAGTGTGAAATTATTTCAAAATAATTCTTTTTAAGTGTTTACTATATTTAAGAGAACAGATTTACAACTAGAGCTAATGAAACAGATTAGTACAACACCTGTTTGGACTTCCTCAGGAGATGTAGGTGGTGTAAGAGTAACCGAAGACATAGCAGGATCTCTTGTGGAAGCAGGCACTTGGTGGACACCCAAGCAAGAAGCTGAACAGTGAGAGGATCCCACAGAGCTAGGAGTAGGAATGTCTGACTGAGGGACTAGAACAAAGCATGCTGGGTAGATCATTCGGACACCAGCTAAAAGTGGGGGAAAAGAGGAAAATCAATTACCTTTGGGTTTGTAGTGGGATTTGTTTCACTCAAAAGTGCAATAATGGAAAAGCAGATACTAAATGATCACATTTGTTAAAATAAAAATACATTAAATATAAAATAAAAACACATTTAGTGTATTTTTATAAATATATACTCTTTCTGGTAAAATGTTTCTCTGAAAGAAACCACAAAAAGCTGGTGGTAGTGGTCACCTTTCAAGAGAGAGACTTAGAATAAAGCAGCTTTCTCGTTTCATTTTTGGATTTTCTAACCATGAATGTGTATTACTTAAAAAAAAATTTATTTGCAAATTTGATCAAATTTATTTTAAAACTTTAACAAAGGTAACTGGCACTAAAATTATGGACCTTTTTGGTTTCTTCTTTATGTATCTCTATCTGAAAAGTCTAATACATGTTATTGTGTTTTCTTCCTATTTCTCATGCAACTACTCTGGTGATATATTTACTGAAACTGAATACTGATACTCCTTTGATTAAAAAAATAAAGAAGGTAATCTTCATATAACATTACCATATGAATCCATTAAATAGTGTTGCAAATTCTAATCCCAATTATCTGCTCAACCATATATTCCCCACACTTTCCACATCTCTCTAAGGTGGAGTATACATTTGCACTCATTGTTAGATTGGATGTGCAACTTGCTCTGGAATCTCCATGCGTGTGACAAATGCCACAACCCAACAAGAACTTGAGATGCACTTGCAGGATCACTGCAGCCTCTCCTATTTTTGTCCTCTGCCTTCAGATTAGCATGTCTCAAATACAGTTTACCTTGTTATAACTTAGGTCCCTGAGAAGGAAGATGCATGTAATACAGCCTACCTAAGCAGAACTGACCTGGACAGAGCTAACCAGCCACAAGGTCTTTAGGTATACACTAGGCTCTGATGACCTTTCAAGTCATCAGAGGCTACAGTTTTACCAAACGTTAAGATACTGCATCACACAGGCTGTCAACTTTCTCACCTCCAAATATCACTCAGTCACAGTTATTTTCTTCTCACCTTTGGCATGCTTCCCTCTAGGTGGGTTATAGTTCCCTTCCCCAGTGACTGACTTGGCCATATGACTAGTTTTTACCTAATGAAATGTGAGCAGATGCAACATACATCATATCCTAGCAGAAGATTAAATATATTTAATATGCTTAGGCTCAGTTCCTATTATTCCTCTGTTCTTTTAAGACTATTATGTCCCAGATACTGGATATTCCATGAGCCTAGGTTGCAGAATGAAAAGGTACAAGAAAGCAAAACCAAATGTTTGATGTTAAAAGCCACTAAGGTATTAAAGAGTTATATTATTCAGCTAAATCTAACTAATACATATAGTCACACATTTCCCACTTAGGATTAATACTCAGAATCCCTACCAACAAGAACTTCTACTGCAGCTAAAGAATCATCTTCCCAATCCATATCTTCCTGTTTTTCTTCAGACATCTCCTTCAAACAAGATGAGATTGGATAGAACTGTTTCCATTCACCAATCAATTTTTTTGTAGCTGAATCGGACATCTTGAATGCCTGTCCTGTGAGAGTGCCATTTAGTCCAAATGGGCTTAAGATAACTAGAAACCCAAAACAGACATTAAGTAAGTAACTAAAGACAATTATACCAAATAAGATGACATTGAATAGTATGGCAAATAATCATGCAATTCAAACAAAGTAAACCCATAAAAATCAATTCCAGAGAAAATGAATTTACTGTATTTCATTAAGTAAAGATAAAGTATAACACTGAGTTTATCATAAAAACATAAGATTCTGTCTACCCAAAAATCTCAGATGGATAGTTTCAACGTAAACTGTGAATATTTGTATATCCTTCGATTTCTCTTGGCTTTCCACTAAGAAAAAGCAATTTAAGGAAAAACAACATATAAGTCCTTATTATATACTGCCATATAAATTTTAAAAAAGCAAATAGTAAGCTTAGAACTAAAGCAAGAACACATGCCTTACAAAGAACACACTTGTAAGAACTCACAGTCCTTACAAACAAATCATATTTTTTTTTCTTTAAAATCATCAATCTTACAAAATTATTTCCTCTAGAGTTCAACCACTTTCATGGTATGAATTATATCAAAAGTCTTATGTACCTACATTAAACATGGCTTATGTAAACTGATAAAAAAGATAACCATGAATATATATAACATGTATACCATCTATAGCCTATTTAAAAGAACACTTTAAAATATGCTAACATTCATGTACAAGAACTTTTAAAAATAATATTTGCATTAAGAATTTATTTAATTGACTTAATACTCTAATGGGAAAGAAGTAAACTACATCAGAATGACATCATTAGGCTAAAGATTGGGGGAAATCTCATTAATCTCTACCAATAAGATTTGTTTCTTGAAACAACAATAAAAAACCAAGCAACTATGCCAATAAAATAACCTACCTTGAAATGGGCTATTAGACTGTTGAGCAAGGGTGATATGTTCTTCACTAAGAAGGTATACAGGTTGATGTTGATTAATTTCCACACTGGTACAAACATTGCTGTCTCCATGCAAGAAAAAGGTGAAAGAGCAGGACAAGTGTTCACTAATAAAGAAGAAAAAGTAGTATTTTAGTAATGATTTATAGCCAAAAACAAAGTCAATTTGCTTTTCTTAAGAAGTTACGCCACAAAAATGTACATTCTCTTTAACCCAGAAATTCTACCTTATCATCTAAAGGGAAAAAAAGAAATCACAGATATAAACAAAGATTTAGCTATAAAAAATGTTCTTCACAGCACTGTTTATAATAGGAAAAGCTGCAAAGAAAGGAACCAGTTAAACAAGTTAGGTACACCCACACATAATGATGATATAGCCACCAAAATAAATAAAGGAGGGGGAGTGGGTTTGATGGGAAAGGTAAAAGTACAGTTTAGTATAGTTTCAAAAAAAACCCATGTGTACAACAGAATTAAAAATGATCTAATGTTTTATTCTAGTAAAAAATAAATACAAACATATTTTATCATATTATTTCTGAAACTGGGCTGAACACAATTAATCAAGCAGCTAATGTGCTGCCCTCCTCCATCCCCAATGAAGTTATTTTAAAGCAATGGTGAGTGTTGTAACTGAAGGTATTCTAGAATCAAAGTTACAAGCAAAATAGAACATCTTAGGAAATTTACATATGACTGGGTATACAGATTGGAAAATAAAAGTTCCCAAGAGGAAAGCAGATATATCCTTAAGATAAAATTTAGAAAAGTCGAGTGGCCCAGAAAAAATGAGATTATACACTAAGAAGAATCTACTCACCTTATTCCTTTTCCAAATATTTATCCTAAGAATCATCTTAAAGAACCAATTCTTTAAGTTACAACCATTAATAAGCTTGAAATCTATTGCATACATCTATAAACCCCTTGAATTTTTTCTGGATGAGACAAGGGCATAATTTAAGTTACATTAAAAGTAATTACTGTATTTTCCCCATCCCAGTAGCTTTTGCTATTATTTCCAGAGTAATTTTGAATTTACAGAAAAGTTACAAACATAGAGTGCCCATATACCCTTCACTCAGTTATCCCTAACATCTTATATAACCCATGCTTCGTTGGTCAAACAAGTAATTAACACTGGCACATCACTACAACAAACTCCAGTTCTTCATTTGTTCACCAGAATTTTCCACTAATGTCCTTTTTCTGTTCCAGAATCAAATCCAAGGTATTACAATGCATTTACCCAATTATTTTTTTGCTTCAGTTGTATTGAGCCATAAGTGATAACTTTTTGTAAGTGATAACTTTTTGTAAGTGATAACTTTTTATAGGAAATAAAATTATTTACATTATTTAAAAATAAATTAAGCTCATTTCTTCTGATTAAAAACCTAAGTCCTTTGGAGTAACTATGGTTGAGTAATTACAAAGACTATAGACATCTCCTTATATTCAGATATAAATGCACTATACATTAAACAACCAAAGTGAAGACAAGTGTTACTCCTTTTATTCAAAAAGTGTTTTGTAGCAAAGCACATGACACTATGTTAATCTCAATCATTTAATTACAGCTATGCTAAGTGCTATAATAAAAATTATGTACAGGATAATAAGAGACTGTCTTAACAAGACCTAAATAATGAAAATAAACTTAGATACATACATTTTATATATATAATTCCTAAGGGAAAAAGAATCACACTTGGGTAACGCCATAAAAGTTATTACGTCCTATGATACTTTTCATCAGCCTATCCCCCCCATACCTCTTATTTCTCCAATTTCATTTCTTACTTATCTTTCTCAAATACTTTCCCTTTCTCCCTCAATTGACCTCTTTGCTGTTCCTTAAACACATCAGGCCTTTGTACCTACTGTTATTCCATCTGGAACACTCTAGATAGCTATATTCACCTTCATCAACCTTTCTCAGGTTTTCAAACACCTTCTAAGCGAGGTCTTCACTGATCACCCTCCTTTAAATTGTTCTTCTGGGATTTGTTTTGGCTTAAGAAATAATGAAAATCTAACTTATTACACAGTTTATTTCTTATAGTCACCAAGAATGTAAGCTCTACTGGAGAAGGAATCTGTTTCCTTTGTACATTGTATCCCTGTATTGATAGAATAGGTCCTTGGCACATAGTACTAAATACTGCAGAATAAAATCCACATTTGATCTTTTTTTCCCCTAACCATGCTCCTTTTCTTATCAAATCTACAGAGTTGTTCAAGCCAGATATATAAATCATCTCAAATTTTTCATTTTCCCCAAACTTCTACTTTCAACTAATCCATCACTAATTCCTACTGATTCTAGTTCTTAGATAATTTTTTTTGTTGTCTTTTTAAGGTCTGAGTAGTTAAAATCTCTAATTTACCTTTCTTTACAACACTGCCAGCGATCCAAAAATTAATTCTAATCATGCAACTGGGAGGCTCAAAATCAATTGTTTCTCAATGCCTTCAGGACTAAGTCAAAAAACTCCTAAACCCTTAGCACAGCACTTTAGATCCTTCCACAATCTGACCCTTGCACTAAACTCTCTAGACAGAGATCACTTAATCCACCAAGAATTACCCCTTTGTTTAGATACCTCACATAGGGAGAATTATAAGATATTTGCCTTTTTGTGACTGGCTTCTTTCACTTAGCATAATGTCCTCAAGGTTCATCCATAATGTAGCACATGACAGGATTTCTTCCAGGATAAACAATAATTCATTGTATGTATATAACATATTTTGCTTAGCCATCACCCATCAAAAGATATTTGGGTTGGTATACCTCTTGGCTATTAAAAGTAATGCTGCTATGAACATGGATGTGCAAAATGTCTTCAAAATCCTGCTTTCAATTATTCTGCATACACACTCAAAAAAAGGTCTGCTGGATCATATGGTATTTTGTTTTCAATTTTTGGAGCAATCTCTGTAACATTTTCCATGGTGACCGTACTATTTTACAATCTCACTAACCATGTACAACGGTTCTAATTTCTCTATCCTTAGTAACATTTGCTATTCTTTATTTCAATAGTAGCCACCTGATATGTTTTTGGGCTTTCCTTGTGGCTCAGCTCGTAAAGAATCTTCCTGCAATGTGGGAGACCTGGGCTCGATCCCTAGGTTGGGAAGATCCCCTGGAGAAGAGAAAGGCTACCCACTCCAATATTCTGGCCTGGAGAATTCCATGGACAACAGTCCATGGGGTCACAAAGAGTCGGACACAACTGAGTGACTTTCACTTTCATGTTTTTATTTATATTTCTCCGATTAGCGATACCGAGTAACTTTTTTTTAAAGATTTATTTATTATATTTTTGGCTGTGCTGGGTCTTTGTTGCTGCACATGGGCTTTTTCTAGTTTCAGCAAAAGGAGGCTACTCTCTAGTTGTGACATATAGGCTTTTTATTGCAGTGGCTTCTCTTGTTGTGGAGCACGGACTCTAAGTGTGCAAATTTCAGAGTTGCAGCTCAGACTTAGCTGCCTCACAGCATGTGGGCTCCTCTCAGAGCAGGGACAGAACCATGCCCTCTGCATTGGCAGGCAGACTCTGGATCACCAGGAAAGTCCTGAACATCTTGTCTTATGCTTATTGACCATTTGTATATATTCTTTGAAGAAGTATCTATTGAAGTATTTTTCCCATTTTTTAATTGGGTTATTTGATATTTTGTAGAGTTGTAGTAGTTCTTTATAATGCTGGCTATTAACACCTTAGCAGATACATGATTGCAAATATTCTCTTCCAATCCTAATGCACAAAGAAATTTAGGTTGGATATAGTCCCATTTGTCACTGCCAAATCCAGTGACATGAAGCTTTTCCACTACATTTTTTTCCTTGGAGCTTTATAGTTTTAGGTCTTACATTTAGGTTTTTAATCTGTTTTAAGTTATTTTTTGTATACAGTATAAGATAAGGGTCCAAGTTCATTCTTTTATATGTGGATACTTGTTTTCCCAACACCAGTTTTTGAAGAGAATGTCCTTTTCCCACTGAGTGGTCCTGGCACACTTGTCAAAGGTCAACTGAACATATTCACAAGAATTTATCCCTGAACCTTCTATTCTCTCCCACTGGGTTACCTGTCTGTCTTTATGCCAGTACCATACTGTTTTGATTACTGTAGCTCTGTAATGTTTTGCTCATTCTTCCCTTTATCCAGACTTTGTAGTTCTTCCTAATAGAGGTGAAATACACTTCTCCAACCCTTGAATCAGGCTCGCTTTGTGACTTGCTTTGGCCTAGCAGAAGGTTGAAGAATACTTATATATTTCACATATAATTTAGCTTGCCCTCTGGTACTTCTGTCATCACGAGAATATGCCCTGACTGGTTCACTGGTCTAAAGAGGGATGAGAACCATACAAAATACACCTCTACCCACACTATGGTTTACAGTGACTAGACTGACTAATCCCTAGCTGACCTGTAGGTACATTAGTGAGAACACATAACTGTTTTAAATCCCTATGTTTTGGGGTGGTTTATTACACAGCCATATCTGATATAAAAACTGGCACCAAAGGTGAGGCACTACAATAACAAAAACCTAAACATGTGGCATTCAGTTTTGGGATCACAGAATTGGCAGCAAAGAATACGAACACTGAAAAGCAGTCAGGAAAATGGTAACCTATGTTTAATATAACAGATGAATACTTCATAGAACCTTTGCCTGAAATAATCTGGAATGCAGAAAACATGCCTAAGCGAACTCACTGCAGGGCTGGAAAATAAGTTTCTCAACAAAGCAATAGTGTGGACTATGTTATAGCACAGCTCAAGAAAAATACCAAATCAAGAGTGTGAATCTCAGTGGTTAAGAATCTGTCTTCCCATACAGGGAATGAGGGTTCAATCCTTGGTTGGGGAAATAAATCCCATGTGCCACAGGGCACCTAATCCTGTGCACCGCAACTTGAGAGTCCCTGGGCCACAAGAGAAGCCCTTGTGCCGCAAGGAAGACCCAGCATAGTTTAAAAAAAGTGTGTAAAATCTCAGACCCCCTTGGTAATACCAAACATTACTTTTAATACCAGCTGAAACATTAGGATTTTTTTTTAAACAGATTTTTTAATGCAATGA